GAACGGATGTAGAGAAGGGTTCAAAAAGTGAGACCCATGTGGGAATTTGACACGTAGGCCAGAAGAGAAGAGTGTGTTAAAAGTTAAAAGAAGCAAGTTAGAAGGTTCGGGAAATTTTGATTGTGGAGCCCAAAGCCGAAGCCAAAATTTATAGTTAAGCCCGCATCACCCGTAAGGCGCGCGGCGCCTCCTGCTCCCTACACCACATCCTTCTCTTCGCTACTTTGCTGCCTACGTGTAATCTCACTATTTCTCACCTCCTGCCCTCTCTTCGGAGTCCGTAGTATCCAATAAATTGCAAAACATAACGATTTTTAATTCTTGGATTTCAAAACTAAATGAAGGAATTTTAAATTATTTGAAATCAAGTTTTTTTTCCTTTGGATTTTGGAAGGATTTGAGTTAAAACTCCAAATTTATCTCGAGGAAAAAAAAGATCTTTCATTTTTTTAAGATTATTTAACTTCATTCCACTTTATACCTATATAATTATTTTTTCTATGCAAATTGTCAAGTATGCTACAATTATTTTCTCTTTTTTATCCTTCTACGTACATTTTTTGGGATCATCATTCAATCAAAATTCAAGTTGATCTCCTATTTTGATGTGTGGTATTTAGTAATTTTTTTTTATTTTTATTTCAATTTTTATAACATTAATTTGCGTCAAAAATAGGATGAATTTACAAAGAGATCGATAATTTAATACATTTAATATTTCTCTTTCATTTTTTTCCTTTAATTATCTTTGTTTTTTTATATATATTTTTGTTGGTTGAAGTATTGTTTAATAATTCTTTTTGCATGTGTCTCTGTGTTTTAATATGACATTTGTTACGTTTATTAGTTTTTATTTTTTAAAGGAAGTATGAGCACGACAGCAACCAAGAAAAATAAATTAAAAATATGAGGGAAAGTTAGTTAACCGTTTTAAGTTTTGTTATTATAAACCTGTTGATTATTTTTCGTTTAGATTTAAAAATATATATTTTGGATAGAAATAATTATAAATTGTTTTTTATTTTTTGTTTTTGTTTTAATTTCTTTGTAATTTATTAAGTTAGACATTAATATTTCATATTTCATATTATATTATTATTAATATAATATTATACAAAATTTTAAGGATATAATAATTAAATATTATAAAAATATTTGTAGGTATTTTAATAAGAAATTTTAATTTCAATAATTTAGAATAAATTTGGTTATAAACTTAGTCAGCAATTTGAAATCATTTCGATCCTGAATGATGAAATGATACAATTTCTGAAGCCGAACAGAACATTAATTTTCCATTTTACTTATTCTTTCTTATTTTAATTTCCTCCTCTTCAAGCCGAACACGAATTACTCAGTACGATTTGTCTATGTCGCTGTTAAACATAGCTGGTTAATTCAGTAAATTACTACATCCCATGGATTTTCAGTTTCAATTATTTGTTTTATTCTTGATTATTATTTATGAGTTTACCTGTTCTGAAAATAACATTCCATCAATTACCGACCTGATTTTTTGGTTTGTTAAAGTCACTCGAGAACAAATTAAAGTGGATGTGGTGTGAGTGATATATAAATGTAAAAGAGAGTATATGTTGATGACGGAGTTTTGGAGAAGTTCACGTATCTCTCTAAATGAAGAATGAAGTGTGATAGGAAACAACTTGCAACCAGAAAATCTCAACACCAGTGCGGTGTCTCACCAAAAAGATTCCGACGATCAATTTAGTTAATAAGAGTAGTAAAAATGAGGAGAATTTCAGAATTTTCACTTACTTGTGAGGTTCTTCACTTTTATAGGCCTTTGCAGCCGACCTAGAAAGACGATGGTTAGAGGTGCAGCAACGCATCATACCGTATGAGATTTTGATAGGCAGGGGTAGACATCCTTGACGCGTGGTCGGTGGCGACACCACGTACCTGCCAGCGTGTCCCTTGCTACAAGCGTTGGTTCGAGGCGCACCTCCTGTACTCCTTTGGCAATAGCGCACCCGTACAAAATATGAACGTATACTCCCAACCGCATATGGTCCCCTATCTAGCTATCCCCTCCAAGACTCGATTTCTCCCTCAACAGTATATAAAAATATTTAAATAGGAGTGTGAAAATTAAAAAATTGCAATATTTATAAATTTGGGCATTACTATCTATTAAAATTTTTCAAACTGATAAAAATTATAAAAAAGGGGATTGCAATTGCAACACCATATGATTCGGTTTATTGGAACGCCAACATTGTCGTTTCGTTTTTGGTTTTCTATTTTTATAAATTAAGCTTAGAAATATTACATTCACCCAGGTGTATTCCTTCATTTGTTATATAATTTTTATAAACACTTTGACAATGTAGGCAAAATTTTGAAAAAAATTAATTTGGAAATATTTGGGTTTGAGAAAATTATTTTGGATGCTTTATAGTAGACTCTTCCACATATTTTGTTCGGTTAAGGAGAAGATTATGAGTATACAAGCAAGAAATAAATATTTCTATTGGGACGAGGTAAACAAAAAATAAAGCCATAAAACTTAGGCCCAAAATGAAAATTATTCTACAATTATTCAAATATGAAGAGTTTTTTTATTTCTTTCTTTTTTAGTACAACAATTTGGAGATATTAGAAATCGAACATTCGACTTCAATAGAAGGAATACATGCCAATTAGTATTAAAGTATGCTCGTGTCGATCAAATACGTAGAGTTGGTTGCTCCAAAAAGAAAAAAAAAATACTATTTTATATAACTAAACTCATATATGGCATACAAAAGCCATGACGTTTGCTTGGACTTATGGGCCCTCCTCAACTCAACTCTATATATTATCAAGTCCATTTAATTTCCCCCTCGAGAACCACAAAAATAATCTATGTAGATTGTTAAAAATGTGTAAGAAACTGTCCATGTCACTCCACAACAAATCAAACTATTTATCCAATATTATGTCGTTGTCGTCAATTTTCGACCACTTTTCTTTTGACTACTTTTGTTAATGATACTAATTCAACAGCACTCACGTTTGCTTGGACTTTTGAGCCCCTCCAACTTGACCACGCACCCAACTCAACTCATTTCTCCCATATGTCCTCCCAATCACTGTCTATTATCGGCTCCAAGAATCACAAAAATAATTTATTCTTGCTTCAACGATGAACTTGACACATCTATGTAGTAGATTACTAACCAAGAGAATATTTTCATGAAGGATAGAAAAGTTCACGAGGCTCCTAATACATATTATTGATCCGCTAGAACACGTTGTACAGTATGATAGGTAAAACTGTAACTAACTATTTCACTGTAGAAACAAAAAGAAATAGACACAAAAGATTTAAGGGAAAATGACATTCTATCAATTATTTAAAATGTGAAAGGAATATTATGGACACACCATGAGGAGAAAATGTGCTCAACATAGGATATAATAGTTCTACACGTGGAGAAACAATATTTGACCTTGTATACTAATACAATACCAAATAACTTAAAATATGCTTAAGATAAATATTATTCTATCATTTATGAATCTTCCAAAAAAAATTTAAATGCATTTCTTTTTTTTTTTCTAAACCAATTTAATGCATTTCTGAACTTTCAAATTAAAATTAAAAAGTTAATGGTCTATTGATTTTAAAGGATGATTTGACATTACATAGTAAGAGTGGCCTAAGAGAAGCAGGGACAATGACAAATAATTATTCTCATTTAAAAAATTTTAGATAGAAGAAAGAAAAGATCATAAAAAAATTATGTATTCTTAAAAGGTAAAATAAAGTATTAAAAAAAAAAAACAAGCACAACTCCTATAAGTTAATCAAGAGAAACTTGTAACTAGGAAAAAGCCGAGGCTTAGCCAAAGAGGCAAAGTCTAAGGCTTGTCGTAGTCAACTAGGATTCAGGACCTTAGGAGCGATAGGGCCAAGCTCCCACGAGCCAAGTATCTACAGTACAAAATTCTAACTCTAGCCATACAGAACACAAATAATGCTTATCAAATTTAAGTATTAGAGTGTATTTGGCTAGCACCACAGTGATGCGTGCATGTTAATTTTGTATAATCTCATGCATCAAAGAAAGTTATGCGAATCCTTACATTTAAGGTGAAATAGAATAGAACAATCAACTTGAGTATAATTTAATTGATTAAGGTAGTAAAATACCATGTGTTTTCTAGCTAATATATGCGTCATATTTATGTGATTTTATTTTATATACTTCTCAAAACAATATATATTAACCACCCTTTGAATTTATACGTAGAATTAAATAGATTGAAGACATGAACATGATAAACAAAATATTAACAGAATAATTATTATTTGGCCAGTACCCAGTTGGAGATATTTTTTGTTGTCTAGATATTTGCACATGGTGGATTAGTTATGTTTAAATGTAGAATAATTACGTCATGGCTGAGGCAGATTATAGTTGTTAAGTCAAAAAGGAGTCCAAGTCGAAGTCCAACAAAAGAAAGGGTCCGGATTGACAACCATTTAGCAGCTGGCTCTGGCTGTGACACTCACAAAATCACCGCCAATACCATAAAAGCATCCATTTTATTTTTCCATTTCCGGCCACCCAATCAACCGTTTAAAATCACACGCCCTTGACTTTCCACAATTATTATAAATTCCATTTAATTCATATACTTCCAATATTACATCTATTTAATTCCAAACTTCAAAATTTAATTACGTTTAAAGTTAGAGGCCCCTTTACTGTCAGAAATTATTTGATGTGACATTCATTAAAAAAAAAGAATCTTAATCTAATTCATTTTATTAACTTTGGTGGGCTGGAGAACGATGGTAGAATGAGTAATTTTGAAGAAATAGATTTAAGTATAATTGATTTTCCAAAATCACCATCTACGTGATACCTTAAAAATCAATTTAAAGTGATTTTAAATTTTTTAATTTAACCAACACGATCAATAAAAAGGGAAGTGATTTTGACAATGTAAAAGTGATTTTGATTTATATGACAAAATCACTCCCAAACACACCCTTGGATTTTAGGTGTGTTTGAGAGTGATAGTAGAATGAGTTATTTTGAAAAAAAAGATTTAAGTATTATTGATTTTCCAAAATCACCACCAAAAGTGATATCTTAGAAATCAATTTAAAGTAATTTTAAACTTTCTCAAAATCAATTTTTTGACGTATATCTCTAACCAAGAGGTCGTGAGTTCGAACCCCACCTCCTCATATTGTACTAAAAAATATCATTTTTTTAATTTACCAAATATGATGAATGGGAAGAGGAGTGATTTTGACAATAACAAAAGTGATTTTGGCCATACCAAGATGATTCCTAAATATACCCTAATTGAACTCGTGGGACCATGGCGGATTGTCTCCTCCTTRGACCTAATGAAGTTGTCCTATATTTTTACAGCCACATGTTGTCGAGTTCACAACATAAGACAATGGTCGGCAAAAATATCGATCACATCAGGGCCACAACCATTTCTATTTTTGCTAAAAGTACAAATGTTGTTCCTTGATCACATTGGTCGAAGCACACTGTTTCACCTTTTTTCATTTGGAGATATTTATATAAATAACATAAAATAAATATATATTTTCAAATATAACATAAAGTTTTAAATTTTACCAAGAAAAAAAAACGTAATTAAAGGTTGAAAAAATTAGTTTAAATTTCATGTGTTTGTGATAATTTTAATTTGAATGAGGATTGTTATATGTGAAAAGAAAAAAAAAACAACATTGTTAGTCTGAACATAACTTAAGTAGACAAAAGACACTTTTTACCATCCAAAAGTCGATATAGTTTGATCTCAAGATGAGGATTGAGAAAACAAAAAAACAATTATAGAATATACAAATAAAATGAATGTAAGTAAATCATTATTTATCATTGGGTGAGGATTCCAACCCTACAACATTTAGAAGGAATAATGTATTGATGAATAGAACTTGACGCTAGTAGAATAGTATAATAAGAGCTTGATTTCCATAATATTGCTACTTCTCATGGGAATAATGTATTGATGAATAGAACTTGACACCAGTAGAATAGTATAATAAGAGTTTGATTTCCATAATATTGCTACTTCTCATGATTTATCTACATAAATCGTAAAATTTCTACAATATTTTTAAAATTAGAGTAAAACAATTTCTACTATATTTTAAAAAGAAATTTTTAAAAATTAGAATTTGAATCTATCGCGTATAAATTTATTAATTCCTTCATCAATGAGTCACATCTATCCATTTTTTTCTTTTTTCATTGCAGTACATCACCATAAAAGACCCGAAGGAAGGGAATATTACAAAGGAAATCCTGGGAAAGAAGGTAGTCAACTTGTAGCACTTGGCAGTGGTTGAATCAAACAGGGCCTTCTTCTATCTAAATTTACGCATTGGCTACCATAATTGCATATTTTTGAGGTAAGATTGAAACCCTCACCCTCTTTCCTTATCCTCATTTCTCTGATTGCATCGAAGATAGGCTGAAACCTCATTTTCAAACATAAATCTGTTAGGAATGGAGCTAAAATAAGAGAGAAAATAGAGCTATAGGATACCGGGTCATCAGAGGACAAAAATTAGATCAGTTGGGCATTATCGTTATTATTATAAGGAGTGTAAACAAAATGTCACATTGACTAGATAAGAAGGTGATTCATGATATATAGGTAAGGATAATTATCTAATGAAATTATTTGAAGTAAAATCAAAACCAAAGACATAAGTAGACATCATATCAACGATGATAGAGATACTTGAAGCTACTCAATTGATTTAAACGCTCAAACTTTACTTAATTTTTGACTACCATATTTGCCATTTTTCAATTGACCATGGTTGTGTTAATCGTCGACATCCAAATGTCTTCCTAAAAATTGTTATGGGCTTGGCCCTCTTATATTGACCAGTTTATTGGGCATGGATGCCTCCAATTCCATATCGTTTGTGGACTCTTCTTGGGTTTCTGGCCTGTTATCAACATCATCACTTTTTCTTGCATCCTAGTGTCCATATTTTGAAAGAGGTAAACTTTGTCCATGCCTGCTGCTTTTGCTTTTGTAAACTATCCTGGAATGTTGGTAAACACAGACCCATCTCTTTTACCACGACGCTGACATAGCAGATAGTAAAGGACAGAAATATATCCACACTTTCGTATTAATAGAAGAAGTAAAAAACATTCAAAGGTTGGGCGATTTTTTTTTTTTTTTTTTTTTGGTATTACCCAGGAGTCGGCAATCCTTCGACCTTTTCAGACCTTTCATGTCCGCACAGCAGTTGGGTCATTCTCCTTTTAACTACACTTGGCAACTGGCTTCAATCCTTCGACCTTTTCAGACCTTTCATGTCCGCACAGCAGTTGGGTCATTCTCCTTTTAACTACACTTGGCAACTGGCTTCATCAATGGTTTGGATTTTGAATAAATACAAATTTATATTAAGCCAATTCTTTGGATTCTGGACTAAATACAAATTCATATTGAGGTGGATATTGAGCCATTCTATCATGCTCACGCATGATCTAATCAAAAGGCCAACATTTAAAATTTTGTTACATAGTTATGTATATTAGTTTCTAAAAAATAATGAACTTATATTTAATAAAAAAAATTAATATGAGTTTCAACCACTTCATTTTAGACGAGCAATAAACTCATCAAAGAAAGGTATTGCATTAAAGGAAAAATGAAGAATAGATTGGAAGGAGAAAAGTATGAGTAAAAGATATTTTTGAAGCTTGAATTGCAAAGATTTTAAAGTCAAGAGATGGACACCCATTTGCCTTTGATCTCCACCCTTATACCTTCTCCCCATATTATCAACTATCTAATTTTATATTACACCATACGAATCCAATCTTCTTATTAAATTTAATATGTTTCCTAATTTCTTCTTTCTTTCTTATCTTATATTAAATTGAAAAAACCTTGCTTCCAGTTCAAGTTCCATCCATGAACTGTACCGAGTCCCTTTGAACTCTCTAGAAACTACTTATAGTTGTTGCTTCTACTAAACGGCGTCGTCTCCTTCATTTCCATCTGCGTGGCCTACACGCGCGCGGTCGTCAGTTGCAGAGGTTGCTGCTCGTCATCAACGGCGCGTGCATCTCCACCGACTTCATCGCTTTTGCATGTGGTGCGCTGCTGCACCCGATTTTCTCTTCTCGCAACCTCTTCATCTTCATCTTCATCTTCTTCTCGCTCCCTTTCAACCAAACCCCAAACAGTTTCAGAGTCTCGCCGCCGTTTCCTACATCATCTTCTTCGTCGTCATCGATGTTGTTACCGTCGCCGTCCGGATCCACGCCGTCCCAACATTTCTCATTAGCTGAACCGCGGGTTTTCCCTTCCCTCATGATGCTGTT